AATCTCAATTTTGCTAAAAAATTCCCAGAACCTGATTTTCCTAGCAATCAATCCATTTGATATATTTGATATTTTGATCTACACTTTCTTGTATTACATAAATTAAATATATCTATTAAGTTAATCATATTAACTATATCACTTATATAACTATTTACAATGTATTATATAGATCAATTAAGTTACAATAGTCCTGTTACATTACTCTTTTCTTAAAATTTTTGTTCTTATAAAAATTCTAAATTATTCTAATTTATTCTATAAAATTACAAATTTTATTAATCAATTGTATAACAAATTATGAATTCTATTACTAAATTGTGTAATTGCATGTGAAATAATTAACAAAATAGATCAATAATCATTTATTTATATTTTGCTTAAAAATCTTTTCTGATTTTTACTAAATTCTATCTGTATTGTCAAACTATTGTAAAATTTTCAAATTTTTTTCTTATTATCAATATAACTTTCACTGTCAAAAAGAAAAAATAAGACAGCAGATACTAGATGAATTGAATATTGAGAACCATAGACTTTGATTATTATTAAATTCTCTTTATCTTAAGCGACTGATTTATCTAATGAAATTAATCATTTATCTTCTCATTTATTTTACAATAGACATCAATATTAAGATTTTGAAGTAAAATATGAGGTATTCTGTTCTAATACAATTGTGCAAGAGTTAATATTTATTGCTTTAAAAGTTATGAAAATATCTAATCAGTTCAAAATCTTCAGAATAATTTAGACCAAATTCATAAAAACTTTAAAGAATATTGGAGTAACTTTATCAGAAAAGTGAAGAATTTAATTTTTCTTTATCATATACCTTTTAATAATTAATTATTACTAAATATTTTATTAGGAAGAGATGTTATTAGCATTTTTTTTCATCATAGAACTACACTTTGCTGTTATTTTTTGACCGTTTTATAAACTATACTCTCTCTCTTTGTCTTTTATAGCTAGTAATAATTGTTATAGATAGTTTTTTCTAAATGTATTTTCTTTTTCTTTCTATATTGATGTATTTTGTTATCTTTTTATCATTCAATAAAGTTTTGCATATTGTTGCATTTTTGTTTTTTTATAATTGTTTAATAAGTTAATAAAAATAAATAAAAAAATAAAAATCTTTACAATTATTCTGTTATATTTAAATGATTTATATTAACTTTTAATCATAGGCTCTACTATATAAAATAATCTTTATTTATAATATGATTTTTTCTTTATATCAGGTAAATTTATTAAAATCTAACAGTTAAGTAATCTATCATAAGAGAGTTGCTAAATACAAATCTAAAATTATCTTTTGATCAACTAATTATGCTATTGAACTGTTTCTTAATGCATAAACTATATAATTATTATAAATAATTTCTTTTTCAGAAAAACTAACATTTTCATATTTCTTGATTCTTTTACATGCATTTTATTAAACTTTCAAAATTATGCAGCTTACTAAAATTTCCTAAATTTGTATCAAATAAAGAAATATTAATTAAGAGTGTTATACAAATATTACATAATCATTGATAAAATGTGTTTGTATTTTTTAAAATGTTATATAATGATTAATAACAATTTGAACTAATAATTGAATGTTTATTTTTCTGCAGAAAGAGAATTTTTTGTGATCTTAAAAAAAATTTTACACACATCTTTTATCTATAAATATTTTTTCTAAAATCTCTCCTATTTTCTCAAAAATTCTTATTTTATAAACAAAATTATTACAGATTTTTAAACTTATAATATTTTTAAAATGATTCACATTAATAAAAAAAAGTTTTCTTCTTATCAATGCTAGAGTTTTGCTTGATATAGACAGTTTAGAAGTGAAAAATTTCTCAAGATAAGATAGGTAAATTTAAGAATAGTTTGATCTGAAAGCTTTGATTATATAGGACATGTGCTGGCTTGTCATGAGCTTTGAATGTATATAACCTATGCTGTTTCTTAGCAACGGTGATGATTTATTCAACCTTATTTAGTTAACTGTAACAATGGCTAATACTTTTACTTCTTAATTAAATTAAAGATTCTTATCAAAAAATTCAAAAGAAAGTTCAAGTTCAAAAAGATCTTCAAGCAAAAATATTAATTTTAAAAAATCAATTATCAACTTCTTTAGATCAAACAGCTAAATTTTTCTTTGAATGTAAACATTTGGAAAAGATTTGCTTCAGAAAAAAGATAAGAATCAAAAACTTTAAGAGAAATACAATCCTTTGATTATTTTATTACTGATGTTTATTATTAGATATCATCGATATAGTTTCATCTTTCAAAACAGTCCTATTTTATCATAATTGAATATGTCTTTAGGACTATAATCTTCTAATATTTACCAGAGATTCTCTCTTATTATTTTGAGACACTTGTGACTTCTCTATGTATATAATACTGTTTAAGGTTGTGTTATTTTTTAAAGTTATTCACCTAACTACTAGATTCTTTAAACTTATCCTTCTTTAATAAAAAGCAAAATTTAAGACTTTAGTTAAAAGAATATCATTAGTAATAATAAGGCTAGCTTTGAGTACGTTATCTACCTAAATTACTAATACTTCTTCAACGAGAAAAAATAGAGTTTTTTTATCATGTTTCAAATTAGCTTGATATGAATTAGTATCTATAGAAAGCCAACGGTCTTTTTCTTTAAAATGTCACTTACCATGCCTTCACTAACGTTATATTCATTAGTTAAATCTTTTTGTTTTAAAAAAGGTAATGATATTTTTTTCAAATAAAGTTTTTTTTGTATAACTATACAAGATTTTCACTTTTTTTTAAAGATTCATCTTATTTATTAGTAGGTTCATTAAGTTGTTTCTTTGAGTTTACTTTTAGTATTATGCAAAGAAAAAAACATGTAAAAAAAAAATGAAACACAAGACATAATGCGTAATGCAAATATTTATTCATTTTTTAATTTTATTTAAAAACTAGGTACAAAAAACTACAAAATTTTATATATATAAATTTAGTAAAATTTATTTTAAGCAAAACTTTGTTGTATCAAAAAAAAAAAATTCGTTATAGAGAAAATTCATTATAAAGAGAGTCATTTTATATATAAATTTTTCTGATTTTAATTTGTTAAACGTAATATGAATTTTTAATTATCAAATTCGATATAGTAAGGTTTTTTTATATTTAAAAATCTGTCTAATACTGAAATTTATTATTGTAAAATTCATAATATTAAAATTCGCTGTAAAAAGAGTTAACTGTATCTTCTATTTTTAAATTTTTTATGTTTTTTATATTAAAATCTTAATAAATATTATATATATATATATATATTTATAATTTTGAAAAAGATTTTTTCATTTAGATCAAAAAAAGGAGAGGGAAAAGAAAAAAGTTTATTATTATTTTTTTTTTATTTTTTAAGATAATTCTTTTTTGAATTTTGAGAATTAACTAGTAAATTAATTATCTTTTTAAAATAAATAATAAGCTTCTTTAAGAATGTTTATTAATAATTTTTCTTCTTTATTTTAAGATTAATCTTTCTTTAGATTTTGAGAATACTCGATAAATTGATTTTTCTTTTTGAAATAAGTATTAAGTTTTTTTAAGAATTTTTTTTTCTTTTTTTTAAGATTAAATCTTTTTTAAATTTTAAAAACTAATTAATAAGTTTTCTCTTCTTAGAATAAATATTGATAAGGTTGCTAGATGAAATTTAGAGATTTTACAAATTGTTTAAATGGTAAAAGTAAATTTAATAAAATTAAAATCTTATTAAAAAATTTGTAAAACTCAAAAAAAGATAAAATTATATCAAAGCTTATAGAAACTTACTAAATTCAAAATAAGTTTAAATAAGTAACCTTAAGTATTGACTTCTTTGAATATGTTTAACATTCTTTTTTTTTTTCTCTTTAGGACCAGCCCTTCTTTAAATCTTAAGAATCAATTGATAAGTTTGTTTTCTTTTTCAAATGATGAAATTTTAAGAACATTTATTAATGTTCTTTGTTTCTTATTTTTAGAACTAATAAGTTGAATTTTTTCTTTTTGAAATGAGTGAGTTATAACGATTTCATATTATTGAATAGACTTGGTTATGATAAATTTAATAAATAATTTAATCACAAGATAATACCATTTTAAAATTGTATGCAATACTTTTGAGCGCCATTGTATAAATATATTCTCTGGAAATGTTTCAATTGAAAAACGGTTTTTTCCAATGGCATGTGAAAAACCTAGTTTTTTTTTTTTGATAAGAATTATAAAGGAATTAATATAAAAAAGCAATTTGTTTTGAAGACGGTTGAGAAAGAGAATAGAAATGAGGTATTGTTTTATTATGTGAATATTTGTTCCTTTCGTGAAGTTGTAAAAGCTTTAAAACAAAGCCTGTAGCAAATAGACAACTGGCTTGATATTAGGATAAGAAAAATTTGTATAAAGCTATTATTGTACATATCGTTCGAGCCAAATATGTATTTTAATATAAATTGGCAAAGATACAAAAAGGATCCTGATTTATTTTATTTTTTTCGAAGGAGTCTCCGTTGTTTCGTATAATGATGATGAAGGTGGAGCCGGCATGGAAAATCCTTTTTGAGTAAATTTTCGAATTTTTGCAATTAGATCTACTTGCATATGCTAAATAATAAATATTAAGATAATGTGAACACTAGTGGTATTGACAGGAAAGTATATCATGTATAACCATATATACCTGTAATGCTAGGAGATTTTCCAAGAAATCTGGTAAGAGATCGTTCATATTAGATAACAATGTTGGTAATGTCAACCTCGCTATCTCACAAAAAAATAAAACCTTTTTGAATTATCATATGTAAGGGAGTAGATTGTCCATTTTGTGCCTAAACAACATAAGTAAAATTTTAAACAGAAAAAATTTAAACTGCACTAAATAAATAAATTGCATTTTTACACATACCTGTTATCTGAACGCCCATCACAATGACTTCTTCAAGTTCATTTTTTTTGAAATGAAGTTTATTCTAAAAGGCATCCATACAATCTTTCATTACCACTTTAATTTTAGAATGATCTTCCCAGAATTTAATGTCGTCCATAAGACCTTCTGTATTTCCTGCTTCAAGTACTAATAATTCAATCTTGTAACTATGTAATGATATTACCAAATCCATCATTCTAGATGGTGGGTTTAACTTTACGTATTCTTCATTAATATACTTTTGTTTTCTGGAAGTAATACTACGTGAATCTTTTTTAATCTTAGAATAAATTAGTTATACCATTTTAAGAATTGATTTTATAGAATAATTAATGCAATGCAAAAATAATCACTTACCAGTTAAGCTCAAAGATGCCTATATTAAATTCTTCAAATATTAATCCAAAAATTGGACTAAGGATCTTAACAATATGATCACGCTCTCGTTGTTTCATAACAAAAATATTAACTTCTCTTTGTAAGCACAGATTACTAATAAAAATCCAGTCAGTATCTGTAAATAAAATACCCAATCAATCCATTCAAATATTCAACCATACACTTATAAAAATTCAATAATTCAGATAGTTAATTGTGCATCCTCAGATTCCAAAGTTGCAAATATATTTTTCCATAATATGAGATCATTTAGTGACTTCTATAAAATATCATAATAACTTATGAATATGTTGTAAGAAGCAGAAAACTATGAACAAATATAGCTTACCACACAGTCAAGTCTATCGTGAAGCAAATTTTTTACTTTTATATTGATTTTATCTTTATTAAGTTTTCTAGTTGACTTGATAAACAATTGCGCATAATCGGATGCTTTAATTTTAGTTATTGAGCGAAAACAAATATTATTTATGAAAAAGCAACAATGACATACTGCACTCGCAAATTGTCACGTTTCAATCTTTTCATTACTTTCTTTCAAATTTCCTCGAAATTTAAATTTGAAAATATCAAATCAGATATCTGCAATATAATGAAAATTTCAAATAATATTTAAGAGATTACGTCTCAATAAAAAAAACTGTTCCTTATTGTAGCTACCTGATCCACAACAATACTGTCGATTTCCGGATTATCTACTTCTTGTTCATGAGATTCTGTATTGCTTAACAATTTGATTGTTATCAGGACTCATGAAAACATGCTTGAAAATAAGAGATAAACTTATATAAGTAACCCAAAATATAATCTTGTCAAGATAATGACATCAACAAACCTCGGCTCCATCCGATATTTCTACGATATTGACAAAACTTTCATGTTTCTTTTCAACATCACATTCAGAAGATAATATCGTGAACTGACTACTTACAGAAGGTCTTTCTATTCAAAAAAAATTCAACATCGTGTCTATCATATGCACTGCAACCTTTGATCCATATAGATCGACTTTTGTTTCAAATAACTTTTCATTCGACTGTAAACTAGTTAGTTTGTTGTATATAATGTAAATAATATAAATTAACAACTGTTGTTTACTTTTTATCCATTTGGTCAAAAAACATCGTAACCTCTTTGAATTTAAAATTTTCTTCTACATTATTAAAAAGTTTTGTAGCCTTTTCTCAGACTTTTTTGTTACTTGAGCTATGAGTAGTTATTGAATGGAACTGATGTTTTAATTCAGTCATAATTTCTTTGCGATGTTCAGATGTCACCCCTTGCAAATTTCTCCCAAAAATTCAAGACAATTGTAGATAGACCATTTTGTGAAGACTTCTTCCTTTAAATATTTGTTAATCCCGTTTGAAATGTTCATACTAAGAATTATTAGTCCAGAACGAAGTGAAGGACTATATATGTCTACGCAAAGTGTCCCGTTCAACCTGTGAGTAGATGCCATGTGATTGGTTTCTACTGTTTCATAACGAATCATGAAATCGATAAAAATAGAAATACGACATACATGTATTTTATTAAAAAAAATAATAAACAAATTTTAAACTTTTTGAAAAACAAACA